GATCAACAGTGAAACACATAAAACTTGCAACAACAAGCGAGAGACTTAAGTGACTCAAGTTATGTAAATTGTATTTATATATATATATACATATAACTTTGTATATATTATATATGTCTTTTAGACATTTCATTGTGTAAGCCGCTTAAAAGTCATCTGCACCAGGGGACGGAGAGAGATCTGGATCAGCTAGCAAATCTATGTATCGAAAGCAAATAGCCAGGAAGAAGCGGAGCCGAACAGGAGCCGAAGAGGAGCGGAAGAGGCACCACATTTCTGGACACATTGAGAAGAAGCACTTGTCACGCATGCGGTCGAACCAAGTCGAACTACACTTGCTTTACCTTATAGCCGAGCAGGATTCTTGAGGTGACGGGCCAACTTGGGTGGACTCTCTGGAGCTTGAGATCTCCACTCAAAGCAACCTTCCAATCTGATAAATGGTACCAATCGGGCGAACCTCCGGAGATCACTAGCAGTATCAGTAGCATTCACTGGCAAATTGTTTGCATACATCAACCTGGGGCAAGTGGAACGTTTGAGCTTTCTTTAGCTATCAACATCTGCCCCACTTGACGGATGAAACTGGTGGGGAAACCACATTCGAGATCAAAAGCATCTTGATGTGGACATTCCTGTGCAGGCGGAACGTTCTTCTCAGTCAGACTTGTGGTCAAGGCTTCTTGTGAGCATCAGTGAGCGCGGCTCAACGGAAGGCATCCTCATATGAAACAACGGAACATAACGGAACTATGTGCTGTATGGTTTAGTAATGCCAAGCCTAGCCCACCTCAGTGAGACAAATTTCTTGTCGAGTCCCGTCGTTCCCTCCTTCTTTCCCTTCGCTTCTCGCCGAGTCCGCCGGAAATAGTCGCAATGTCTTTTCGTGGCGCTCGTCGCACTGGAGGTGCTGGAGATGCCTGTCGTGGTCGTTGCGGTGGCTGTTGCGGTCGTTGTGGTGGCCGTTCTGGTTGCGGTGGTGCAGCATGCGGCGCAATCTGGAAGACTGGTACCAGATTCACAGCAAAAGTCTTTTGGTTTCGCGCCACACTGGTTGGAAGTGACTTTTGTACAGCTGCTCGGTTTCTCACTATCGCGACCCTGAAAATAGCCTCAAAGTTAGGTTCAACAAACACTTTGTGGATCTTTGTGGGTTTTATGCATCCCACTTCCAGGAAAAACGCATACTGCCCGAGAACTCCAGGTTGCATTTGGTCTGCAACGGTCACTGTCAACAAGCCCCCGCCAAAATGCCAATCTGCAATCTCTCCTTCCGCAAATGATGTCGAGGCACATGTTCGACTCGGTAAGTCCCTGGGCTTAGGCCCAACATGGCCAAAAAAATGATGTCAAAAAAACGATGAATCGGGGGAACGGTTGCGTCCGTTTGCTGTGTGTTTCCCTAGGTTCAAGCTGAATCATCAGGAACCCGTCGTCATACCCATCTTGCGATTGTCAGGAGTTGACCCCTTCTGACTTCTTTAGGTACTGAACTTGCAATGGCCAACCCAAAAAAAGATTCTCTGCGAGCTTCGATTGTGGATAGCCTGCCACCAGAAACACACGAAATGCTGATGTTGGAAGATGCCCCGGCGACTGCCAGGACACATCCCCTCCGCATGGGCCTTGAATCAATCTGACCCTTCAGATGAACTATCCACCTGCAGCGCTGGTCTTGCAGGCTTCCTGGCCTTGCTATGGTGTCCAGAATGTGCGCAGTGTATGCCGAAGACAGCCCAAGTCATTGCAGAAACGGCAGGATGGTTGCATGCCAGAACCGCAATGCTTCAAATTTCATGGTTGGAACGAAGCATGGAGGGAGCTGATGCTGCTCCACGCTTCCTGCAACGGTTGTTAGAAGCCACGCTGCAATCGTTTTATGACTGCTTTCGAGGGCTTTCAGAACTGACCAAGGGGTGGACGGGGGTGTATATGCAGGCGGGGCGGGACGGATGCGCACCAGAACCGCGACGCTTGAAATATCATGGTTGCCACGAAGCCTGGAGGGGGCTGATGCTTCGTTTTGGCCTGCTAATGTGCGTTTGTGTATTTTTCCTGGGTCGCGCGCTTCTTTTTGCTTTTGGGTCCGCGGGCTCACCTGCAACTGCAAGAGTTCTTTTTTTCTCCTGCGAAGCTGAGCCTATGATTGCATTTGCATGCTCCAAGAAGCGTTGAAACCTGTCATGCCAGGTTTCAGTGTGGTGTTAAACCGTGTGGGAATGCGGTTTGGTGGGCTTTGGCTGGACATGTCCAACGCACAAAGGGCGGTTACAGTTGTGGAAGGATGTTGGCCATTCTGTGATGCGGTTGCATGCCACTGTCCATTCCCCCGTTGCTGACTGACAAACTTCATGGCCCTTGCCAAGCGTTCACCATGCGAACGGTGGGAGGCCTGCGTTCACCTTGTGGTGCAAACAGGACAACTGAGCATCCGTGATCTCTTCCTTGTCCAATGGATTGCCGACTTCGATGGCACAAACCCCGGTCTCATCTTGAGCTGCTGTGGCCCTGTCAACAACTTCTCTTCTAAAATCACAGCCTTGCTCAATGATTTGGTACGTCTTCAATTTCAACTTTGCGCCAACTGTTCGCACTGCTGCCTGTTGCTGGTGTAGCTGTCAATATACCGCTGCTTATGCACCGACATAAGTTTCCACAGGAAGTCAACCTGCTTGGGGAAGTATGCGCTGACGGTCGGGAGGCAGGCGACTGACGTCTGGGGCTTGGGGTCAGGAAAGAACTGGGCGAGGAGCTGGGCACTGGAGTGGACGTGTCAGTTTTCCTCTGGAAGCCGCATGGCTGCGTGGGTGAGCAGCGCCGTGTCTAGCAGTTTTTGGGTGTTGACTCAGGAGCTGATCCCTTTGCCCCAAGACAGGGTGTGACACCGGGGCGCAGTGCCTTGACAAAGAGTCGAACGAGAGGGTCGCACAAAAGTGCAACGCAATGGCATCCCACAACAGTGTCAAACGATGCAACATTCTAACCGCAAACATTCCATTTGGAAGTCTTTGTTTCCTACCCTCCATTAATGTTAAAATCACATTTTGGACATTCATAGCTTCTTGCTCCTGGTAGTACGGCCAGGAGCCCCTACTAGCGTCCTTGCTCCTAGTAGCGATGCCAGGAGCCCCTAGTAGCGTCCGATCGCTCGATGCCAGGAGCCCCTAGTAGCGTCCTTGCTCCTGCTCCTAGTAGT